GAAAGAGCGGACATCATAACTTATGCTAAAAAAAAAAAAAGAAAAAGAAAAAAAAAAAACTAGAAAAAGAAAAGCAAATGAAGCCCAAGTGATCAGTTTGGCTTTGTTTCCCCACCCAAATCTCATCTTGAATTGTAATCCCCAAATCCCCAAGTGTTGTGAGGGAGCCGGTGGGAGGTAACTGAATCATGGGGGTGGGCTCCCTGAAGGCTGTTCTTGCCATAGTGAGTTCTCACGAGATCTGATGGTTTACAAGGGGCTTCCCCCTTCGCACTCATTCTCTCTCCTGCCACCCTGTGGAGAGGTGCCTTCCACCACGATTGTAAGTTTCCTGAGGCCTCCCCAGCCATGCAGAACTGTGAGTCTATTAAACCTCTTTTCCTTATAAATTACCCGGTGTCAGGTATTTCTTCATAGCAGTGTGAGAACGAACTAATACACCACGGAAGCAGTAGAAAAGAAATAATAAAGATGAGAGTGAAAGATCAATGAAACAGAAAAACAGCAGAGTATCATTCAGAACAAAAGCTGGTACTCTGAGCAGATAGTTGATTGATAGATAGGTATAGATATAGATAAAATTAAAAAAATTCTAGCCAGATATATTTATTGCTAAGGCTGCAATAGCAAAGCACCACAAGCTGGCTGGCTTAAACAAAAGGAATGTATTGTCTCACAGTTCTGGAGGCTAGAAGCTTGAAACCAAGATATCTGAGGGCTGTGAAAGAAAGATCTGTAATCTTCTCTCTGTCCTGTAGATGACTGTCTTCTCCTGTGTCTCTTCACATCATCTTCCCTCTATGCTTGTCTGTCTCCATATTTCCCCCTTTTATAAGGACAATAGTCACGCTGGATTAGTGTCATCCAATCCATTATGACCTCATTTTAACCAATTATATCTGGACCAACCTTATTTTCAAATAAGGTCACAGTCTGAGGTCCTGGGCTTTAAGACTTCAACACATAAATTTTAGATGGGCACAATTCAACCTACAGTCCTAGACTATCAGGAAAAAAGTAAAACACAAATTACCAACATCATATGTGAGAGCAGGATATCCTTTAAACTCTATAGATACCAAAAATAATTGAGGGAGTATAATAAACAGCTATAAGCCAATAAATATGACAATGGAGATGATATAGATAAAATCTTTGAATGTTCACACTCAAAAAGAAATGGATAACCTAAAAAGCCCTATAACTAATAAGATACCACATTATAAACTGTAAATATATATAATTTAATTTGCCAATTATACCTTAATAAAGTGGGGGCTGGGGAGGAAAAAAGCCTTGATCTATGATAGAAATAACTGAATCTGGCACTGAGTTAATGAAAATAATAATCACAGTTCACAATTATTAACAGTGTCTTTACTGCTGAGAGACACCTAGAGGCCCCATAAATATAGAGTCAAATGGAAAGTTTCAGCAACTCAATCAGTGAATATATGGGGCTCAGCCACAAATGAAACTATTACGGTTTGATTTCTAAGCCTAACATTCTAAACAGTGTGAGAAATGTCACTGTTGAAATCTTCACTGAATATAATTTGAAAGTAAAAATATAATAAAGTTGGTCTTAATTTCATAGGAAAAAAGGAAAACTGTTATATATACAGTATCTTTGTTTGAACCATTTTATTCCAAATGGAAGGCTTCTATATTTACTTATAGTTTTAAAAGATGATACTAATGTTTTGACTTAAATAAAAAAAAAAAAAAAGAAAATCAATGTAAACACACCATTTTAACTGGCTGGAAAAAACCACACGAACACCTCACTAGATGGAGAAAAAGTATTTGACGAAAATTCAACACTCATTCCTGATAAAGAATTTAGCAAATTATGAGAGAACATCTCAATGTGATAAAAGTAATGGGCCGAGAGATAGAGAGGGTTAAAGTTTGCTGCTCTAAAACTCTATTATTCTAACCAGGTTGGCCTAAGGCAAAGAGGTGGGGATGAGGTGAGCACAGCATTTACTTTCTCTGATGTTTTCTACAAAATCATGTAAAACAAAAATGACTCTCAGTAAGTGCACGATAAAGAAAAGCTAATTTTTTCCCCAAAAATGTCTTGTTACAAAATTAGAATGTTTCTCATACATTAAAATCCTTGGCAATTATGGTACTTTTGGACACTCTAGTCATATGTGATCTGCTTAGGTAACCTAACTCAAGCAGTATCCTACCTTCTTTTAACACCCCTCCCCATCAATTCTGACTATTTCATAATCATTTTGATTGTCATTCAAAATGTTATTTTCACTTTATCCTAATTTACAGACACCTATGACTAGCTTATCCTCTTATATACTGAGTACTTTTTACCTGGCTTAATCTATTTATGGTTATCTGTTTAGGTAGTTTTATAAAATATGAAGTAGCTTATAAATAATTGATACCAGCGAGGCATGGTAGCTCATGCCTCGTAATCCCAGCACTTTGGGAGGCTGAGGTGGGAGGACCGCTGAGCCCAGGAGTTCAAGAGCAGCCTGGGCAACATAATGAGACTCTGCCTCTACCAAAGATTAAAAAAAAAACAAAAAAAAAACCAGCCAGCTGTGGTGGTGAGTGCCTGCAGTCCCAGTACTCCTGAGGTTGAGGAAGGAAGATCACTTGAGCCTAGGAGTTCAAGGCTGCTGTGAGATATGACCATGCCACTGCCCTGTAGCCTGGGCAACCAAGTGAGACCCTGTCTCTAAATAATAATAATAATTATTATTTATACCATTTACTGAGCATCTAATACCTAATTTAGTCTCCACACCATTCTCTGATGTAGGTGGTATTATCCCTATTTTAAAAACTGAAGAATCTTAGGTTCACGAAGATTAGACAGCATGACTAGTGTCACACAGGTGCTTGACGGCAGCAGAACTAAGATTAGTCCCGGGCTGCACTGCCTTCAAAAGCTATACTCCACACTCATCAGCTGCTGTTTTCATCCTTATTGTTCTCTCTGAGTTGTTCGCTTTGGTCCCAGAGATACGACACTTTTTTCTCATCTAAATTCACTGTCAGAACATCCATGATCCGCTTGTTTACTCATGATAATCCCTCCCTCTACTTTGAACAAAAAAAAAAAGCGATATTCACCAGCAATTAAAAACCTAGGTTGCCAGGAACAATGGCTCATGCCTGTAATCCCAACACTTTGGGAGGCTGAGGCAGGAGGATTGCTTCAGCTCAGGAGTTCGAGACCGGCCTGGACAACATGGCAAAACTCCATCTCTATAAAAAAATACAAAAATTGGCCGTGTATGGTGGTGTGTGCCTGTAATCCTAGCTACCAAGAGACTTAGGTGGGAGGATTGCTTGAGCCCAAGAGGTCGAGGCCGCAGTGAGCCATGACTGTGCCGTTGTAATCCAGCCTGGATGACAGAGCAAGACTGTCTCAAAAAATCAAACAACAACAACAACAAAATCCAACAATAATAAAAACGATCTAGGACTACGAATTGAAGCTTTCTTTTTTAAAAAATCAAAAACGCTTATTACTTGGAGATTCAAAGTTATAAGAGCACATTATTTATAAGAATCCTTGAAGGCAATTTGTTGTTAAAATCATGCCACAGAGCTCAATATTTTAAATGCATAATAAATTTTCTCTGGAAATGCTATTCACTTACACTGACAGCATTAATATCTGAGACATGTCCCGTGAAAGACTGTCTACACATTCCATCTCGAATATCCCATAATTTGGAAGAGGCATCACAAGCACCAGAAACAAAAGTCCTCATGTCAGGACTCAGAGAAAGACTCATCACATCTCCAGAATGCCCAGTGAATGTGGTGGTCTGCTGGGCAGTTTCGATGTCCCATAAAGCACTGTAATTAAAAATAAAATACAACACTTAATGACAATGACCTCTTCTTATGTCAGTTCCTGCTACCACCCTCACACCCATAATCAGTGTGCTTTTGAAATAAACTTACCAAGTTGTGTCTCCTGAACTTGTAACAATTTGGCTGTCATCTAAAAAACGACAGCAGGACAAGTACCCTACAGCATAAAGAGTAGCAAATTTTAGGTTATCACTGATTGAATAACTCAACTACCATATGAAATAGCAATACATATTGTTAAAAATAGAATACTTGGGCAACAACATAGTTCTACTTTTAGTTACTTCAAATCCTACACTGTCTATAAATTAAATGTTATCAACAAACCATTCTTAGGCATTTACCGTGTTAATGACATTGTGCTGGGTACTCTGAAAGCTACCAAACTGAGCAAGACACAGCCCCTGCCACCTAAGACAATTACCTTGGGAAGAACTATAATCTATGGCCGACTGTGTTAAGCACCCTGGAGAAATACTTTTAAAATACTGTGAGAGGACGCCTCTGGGCGCACCGCCTGTGAGTTAGCCCTGCTCTGCAAGGAGCGGTTAAAAAAATTGTTTTTCAAATAAAAAATATTTAAAAAAAAATATCGTGAGAAATCAAAAGAACAACAGTGAAGACTTTATGAAAGATGTGGCATTTGAATGCTCAGCATTCATCAGTGTTTCAAAATACGGAAATGTCAGGAAAACACCATTCCAGAGATTTTGTAAAAGCAAGGTCAAACAGTATGGTTAAAAATTCAGATGGATGGATACCAGATCAGTGGCAATAATTCCTAATTAACACCATTAACCCAATACTACACTACTGAACTAGGATGGGCACACTGGCAAACAAAGCAATACACTATCATGGTGAAAAGTATTTCACTAATGCACCTTAATGCATACTCTCAACTATATAATTGAGTACAGATGCCACAATCCCATAATGGTTATATGGCAGCAGAAAATGGAGAACATTTTATTTGCTTTATTTTTCATGAGTTTGAATTTTGTGCCATAAACTTATCATTTTTACAAAAACAATACAGCTATTTTTGAAAGAAAAACAAAATTATGATTGTTTGTATGACTATAAAAAGTTAATGTTTCCTTTGGTTCATAATAATTTCTATTCCCACCCGATTAATCCTCATCCTTTAGCCAGCCGAGCACAATCTGTTATTTGACCTTGATCAGCACATTCTACACAAGGAATCATGTGTGGTGGGAAAGAATATTTAGGGAAGCTCACCTGTGTGACCCGGCAACTCTCGGCTCACTCTCACATTTCCCTCTCTGGTCTTTAAGTTATATATAGAGCAGATGTTGTCCAAGCCTCCACAGGCAACATAATTACCAGAGGGAGCATAAGCACAGGTCATCACCCAGGAGGACCTCAAAGGAATAGCATGCATCTGTAGGGCACACACCGGTCACACAAAACTCAGATTACAAAAACCATCATCTATTGCATAAACCCATTTACAATGAAGTAAATATTACTAAAAATTAAATACATCTAAGAAAGATAAGTCAAATAAAATAATGGCTTGAGAAAGTGAACCATGAAAAATAAAATGCTAATGCACATTAAAATGCCTATTATTTTGTATTATCAAACCATGAGTCAAAAAGTGCTCTTCCTGGAAATAATTCTCTTAATAAAGAACATAAAGAAGTTTCAATGTTAATATATTGCCATTTGAAAAATTAAGTGTAAAATGTTAAAGGTTTTAATAGAATTTTCATTTTTGTAATAGTGCTCAAAATTCCTCAAACACAACTCTGAACAAGAACTAGGGAGATAATTAGCAAGTCTCAGAGTCGATTACATGAGTCTTCTATGAAAAGATGACACTAGCATCCCTCTATTAATAGGCCCTTATTCTGGGCTCTCATTCAAACAATGGTGATAGTTTTGCATTGATCTGGTCACAATGCTATCTGCTGCTGCCTTGTTACCCTAACACCAATAATTTGAAAGTCAGATGGAAAAAAGTAAGGTGTATGAGAATACCACGGCTAAACAGTCCATACAGGGAATCAACACATGGCAGGACTACTACTATGCTCTCACTTAACCTAAAATAATATGCTTAAAATACATTTTTTGGTTTTATGAAAATATAGTTGAAAGATAACATGCTTAATGATGATTAATAAAGAAAAACTATTATATTACAAAACTGTCTTAGCTTGCTTTAAAATCTCAATCGGGTTGAAGCTCTTGTTTATTTCACAAAATGGTATTTTCAAATGTTTAATAAAAATACTAATATGTATACACAGAGTATAAAGGTCTTAAACTTATCAAAGTATTCCTGAAGCTTTTTCACTACCACTCAACAATTTTAAACTGGGGATTCCTTCCAGTGGATGTATTAGGACCATCCACAGTCTATTACCCCCAAGAGATCTAAACAAGTTGTCATTTGCCTCCAATCTACTGTATCTTCTAAGCAGTCCAGAAGCACAAATCAATGCCTGGAGTGGGCCAAAGAAGAGCTTCACACTAGCCATCTAACTTATCCACAACTAGAAATTACAATCTCTGGGTCTTTGTCACATTAGGAAATGGGAATTTTAAAACATCATTTATTAGTACATGTATAATGGTACTATGAGCCCTCTAGTAAAACACAAAGTCATCTTTGGAAATAAAAAAGGGTTAAACATTAAAAGCAAACACTAAGACAAAAGAGAAGAACTAGATTAAAATAAACTATAATAAATTTATCCCAGGAAGCAATTTAAGTTTGAGGTAAAAGAATAAAGGAAAGAACTGGTAAACAGCCAAACAAATATAAGGTTATTTAAAAAGAATTATGAAGAAATTCTACCTTATTTGTTGTATAGCTATCCCAAATAATTAATTTTCCATCTTGGGAAGCACTGACTAGCAGCCTAGAGGAACAAACACAAAAATAATTTGACACTTAGAGGGAAAAAACAGCTTAAATTGGTTATGCATTGCATTAATGTAGAATAATTGAGAAAAAAATACAATCTTTATAATTAAAAACTTGATACCAAAATATGTTCTTCCAACTTTTAAAAAATGTATGCTGCATGCCAAAAATTTTGAACATATTTCATAAAATAAAATTTAGCAACTGACTAAAAATGTCTGGCTATGATTAAACTTTTTTGTCATAACAACATTTTAGTTATACAAGATTTGGAGGGATATTAGCTGACTGGTTTAGTACTTACTGACTTACTTAAATTTAATGACAAGAATGTACATAGTAGCCTAACAACCATATTTTATCCAATCTAAAAACACCAATTGAGAGCCTGAGAATATGACAGTACTAGAGGTACAATGCAGGATACATCTCCTGCTCTTGAGGCCTCTACCATCTGGTGAAGATAAGACATTTACTCATATTTATATTAAATCAAATAAGTAAAAACTGTCAGAAGAGGGGTATAAAATAAATACCACAGGAGAGTAAAGGAGGAACAACGGCTAGTTGAGTTAATCAAAAGAGAATGAGTCTTGAAAGAAAATGTTGAGAGCTAAAGACAGAGAAAAGGCTGTATTTTAGGAGAAAGCTTTAAGATCAATGACAGGTAGGAAAACACAGTGAGTGTTTCAGAAATTGTGAGTCTTCCAGTAGTACAGAGTTTGTGAGAAAAAGGAAAAATAAGGTGAGAAAAGCAGACTGGGCTTAAACTGCAGAAAGCTTTGTTAAGCTAGAGTATGAACTCCTAAGTAATTTTAGCCACTAAATTCGTTTTGTTTGGATTTTTTTTTTTTTTTTTTTTTTGAGACAGAGTCTCACTGTGTCACCCAGGCTGGAGTCCAATGGCGTGATCTCAGCTCACTGCAACCTCTGTCTCTCAGGTTCAAGTGATTCTCCTGCCTCAGCCTCCCGAATGGCTCGCATAACAGGTGCACACCACCACAACTGGTAAGATGGGATCTCACCATGTTGGCCAGGCTGGTCTCGAACTCTTGACCTCAAGTGATCCACCTGCTTGGCCTCCCAAAGTTCTAGGATTACAGGTATAAACCACCACACCCAGCCTTGTTTGGAATTTTTATTTTTCACCATGGTGTAAAATTCAAAAAATAAAAAAGGATATACAGAAAAAAATTTTAAAAGGCCCCTTCCTGGGTCTATCATCAGCCACCCAGTTATTTACCTTCCCTAGAGGTAAATAAATTTATCAGGTTCTCAGGTAGCAATCACTACAAGGTTTTACAAAAGGGAAGATCTATCTGATAGTGGCGTATAGGATGGAATCTAAAGAAAATTCTTTAGAAATCAATTGCCATCATCAGCATAAGAGTTAAGGAGAACATTAAGTAATGGACTGACAATACGATGGGTGGGAAGACTATGTGAGATAGGTTCCTGGGTGATACTTTCAGTTTTCTATAAAGATTAACAGTCTTGAGAAAATGTTTAAGGAAAGCAAGAACCATAAACACTGTTTCATGTTATTATATTTTGAATTAAAAATTTGCTTTATCAACAGGTAAACTATTTTTATCTTAAACTCCTTTAAGAAATAGAGTAAGATATTCGGCCAGGCGCGGTAGCTCACATCTGATTAATCCCAGCACTTTGGGAGGCTGAGGCGGTTGGATCACCTGAGGGGCAGGAGTTCAAGACCAGGCTGGCTAACATGGTGAAACCCCCTCTCTACTAAAAATAGAAAAATTAGTCAGGCATGGTTGTGGATGCTGTAATCCCAGCTACTTGGGAGGCTAAGGCAGGAGAAGCCACTGAACCTGGGAGGCAGAGGTTGCAGTGAGCCGATATCGCCCATTGCACTTCAGCCTGGGCAATAAGAGTAAAACCCTGTCACAAAAAAAAAAAAAAAAAAAGAAAGAAAGAAAAAGATGAAGACATTATGTCAGTTGTCAACTGTATACTTTTATGACATGTTCGATATTATTGTGGTCAAATATCCCAATTAGAGCAACAATTGAGGCTTCTTCTACTTTACAATTTTAGTGTCTCCTAGGAGAAGAGAATAAACGTGCAACTTCTATTAAAAAACAGAAGTTTCTCGGTTTAGGCATTTCCCATTAAGATTAACCAAATCAAAGGAACAAGTAAATCACTGTGGCAGCAGACACACCTGCTATTGCCAGACAATGGAAAAAGCACAGGCTGCACTGTAGCCTTATACACATAGTGAATGACAGTGATGAGCAATCTATGTAACTGCAGGCCAGGTGGCAGCTGTGCGTGTGCCCGTGCACCTGCAGACAGTCAGCTTGCACATTCAAGTACACGCCTTTCTGTGATGGGGTCAAGGGAGTAAAAGATGTATTCAATAGAAATAACTTTGTTCGGTGTAATTTCCATTATTTGCAAATTTATGTATTAAGTACCTATAGCAATAACCAATAACTTGCACATAGAAGGTGTTGAATAAATATTTGCTTATTAACTGAAATCTCAAAGTTAATACACAGGAAAAATGCTTTGAGCATATTTAAAAAACACAGAATGTCTGCAATGTCCCACTGCAAAAAAAAGGAATCCTCTTCTAAACAGTTGTCCTGGATTCCATATTAAAAATTTTTTAACTTTTAAAGAGTCAATTAATATTCTTAGTGAAAGCAACATGTTCCTTCATCTGAGATGCATTTTCTGCAAATGCTTCATGAATATACTCTTTTTAAACAAAGAAAATGCAAATGATAGTTCTTAATGAAAATAATTCTGAGACAGTTTAAAAATGACAGGTAATGACAGGTACAAACCTGGAATCGTATCCCCAGTGCATAGCATAGATTTTAGCTAGGTGGCCCCTCAGTGTACGTCTTGTTCGCATTTGTATTCGACCCACGGAGTCCATATTTGATGTAATCTTTTGAAAGCAACAAAAATGTTATTCTTTACCTTAGTCATGGTTCATGAGACAACTTGAACTAGAAACAGTGAGGAGTGAAAAAAACAAAGTACATTTATAGTAATCGAAGAAATTTAATAGATATAATTCCACAGAGCCGTTATGGGATCAATATGTTCATGAAAATTATGATTAGTTTAAAATAATCCTACATGCTATTATAAATAATATATATAAATATATAATAAGAATGCCTTCTGCAGACTGTTAACTAAAAATAGATAAACCTCTATGCTTTAATAAAAAACCAGCCACAAATAAAAATCTAGTAGCAAATGATCACAGTAAACATTTATAATTTTAACTGTAAGAAAGCCAATTTTATATTTGTAAAGCACATAAAATACTTTCTTAATAATAATTATCAATATTAATTAAACACGAAGCCTTCCAAAGATTTTTAAAATATTATTTTTCTTAACCCCTCTTACTATCATTCCCAACCTATGAGTTTTCACAAGGAAAAAAACCACTTAATTCGGGTATACCAAAAAGAATCAGAAACTATTTAAAAAGAAGCATAAACTATATGAATCTATATATACATATATACATACATAAATATATATAATCCTTTTTTTTTTTTGAGACAGAGTCTTACTCTGTGTCCTAGGCTGGAATGCAGTGGTGTGATCTTGGCTCATTGTAAAATCTGCCTACCAGGTTCAAGCGATTATCCTGCCTCAGCCTACCAAGTAGCTAGGATTACAGGCAGGCACCACCAGGCCCAGCTAATTTTTTTTTTCTAGTAGAGACAGGGTTTCACCATGTTGGCCAGGCTGGCCTCAAACTCCTGACCCCAAGTGATCCTCCCACCTCAGCCTCCCAAAGTACTGGGATTACAGGCATGAGCCACCATGCTTGGCCTTGAATCTATATATATACACATATGTGTGTGTGTATACCTATGCACACATATATATATGTACATATATATATAAATTTTTTTTTTTTTTTCTTTGAGACAGCGTCTCACTCTGTCGCCCAGGCTGGAGTGCAATGGTGCAATCTTGGCTCACTGCAACCTCTGCCTCCCGGGTTCAAGTAATTCTCCTGCCTCAACCTCCCGACTAGCTGGGATTATGCCCAGATAACTTTTCGTATTTTTAGTAGAGATGAGGTTTCACCATGTTGGTATAGCTGGTATATTTGTATAGCATTTATTTTTCCATACACGTCTATTTTAACAATATATTTTAAAAAGCACTCGCACTGTATAGCATTTGGCAAATTATAAAGTGCTTTTACACAGAGATTTCATTTAACTTTTTTCAATTAAGTACTAATACCAGGATCTGTCATTTGCCTCAATGTCAAATTATTTTATGAGTTACCAAAATGAAATAAAGAAAAACAAAACTTTACCTGAACAAGCGTTGCATCATTACATGCTTTCCGAGCATCCTGAAGTAAAGAAGGATGATTATAATGCATTTAGAAACCTGTGGAATGACTACAGTGATACTTTTTTTGAAAATGTAGATTTGCTAATTTACTTTTCACTATACCACATAATCTTTAAAAAATGTTTTAACATAAAAACCATATAACCTAAATCAAACCATTTTAACCATTTTAAGGCATATAATCCAGTGGTTTTTAGTATCACGATGTTGTGTAACCATCACCACTAATTACAGAACATTTACATCACCCCAAAAAAGAAACTCCATATCTCCTAATTCCTTTTTCTCTCCCAGCCCTTAACAATCACTAATTTACTTTATTTCTCTATGGATTTGCCTCTTCTGAACAAAATCTGAGAGAACTGAAAAGGATTATCAAAAGGAAGATGGTGAAGCAGAAATTAACAAAAAATTAAAGACTGCAAAGACATATTTAATAAACAAAAAAAGTTTTAAATCACACTTAATCAGTTTTTTTCAAATTTATCAGTTAACAAATTTAGAGGATTTATACACATAGAAAAATAAGAAATGCAATTAAATCCTTTCTGCTAGACTGAAACTTTTTTCCACAAAGGTTACAGTAGTACCCTCTTCAATTTTTTTTTTTCCTATACAGTGTTTAAGTACTTGCATACTCCTGGGCAAGGAGAAGGCACACAATGTTTGCTGAATAAATGTCCCAAATGGACAACTTGTTCCAGTCAGCCAAGGGAAAAATGCCTGCTTCAGCTCACAGCAAACACTGGATGGCGGACATCTTTCTGGCTGCCCTTTCAACCTATTTATAACCACTTAGAATATTTCTAAGTAAGGGTGTTCACAAGCAGTGGCACAAAACATATGATTTTATTTTTTCATTCTTAGCCAAATTGTGGGTTTAAAGACCTCATCTGGTAAGGAATAATGTAGCCCACTTTCCTATAATGAAGAGTTTCCAGAAATGACAGTGATGGGCCTGGACCATGTTCCAAAAATGGTAGAGTTGAAGACCAAATTCTTAAAAAAGGTTCTTTGACTTCAAGCTTTATGAAAATGAACTATCATTGTTTAGACTATCTTTTTAAATTTAGTTAGTTGTCAAAAAAACTTGGTTGAACACTATGTGTCAGGCACTATTCTAGGCACCAACAGACACCAAAAATCTCTGCCCTCATTGAGCTTACATTAATATTAGTAACACAATTTAAAAACTGCAAATGGAAATTACTAAACTACGGTGAAAATTGGTAACAAAAATTATCATGTTGGAACACAAGAATTCTACAAATATGTTAGCAGCAGTTATGTGCAAAATTACATTATGCAAAGATTCTATTTACACTGAGAACTCTCTCTTATGAACACTATTATCCATTATAAAACAGAATATAAGGCCAGGCGTGATGGCTCATGCCTGTAATCCCAGCACTTTGGGAGGCTGAGGGGGAAGCACTGCTTGAGCCCAGGAGTTTTAGACAAGCCTGGGCAAACAGTGAGACCCTGTCTCTGAGAAAAAAAAAAAAAAGAAAGCAAAACAAAACAAACAAAAAAAACAGAATATAAAGTATTCCCAATTAAAGGCTGAATTCGTACTGTCCAGCACCACAAGAAACACAAAATCTGGTAAGATCTTTGTGCAAGAGAAAGATGATACATACTTTTTTCCAAATCAAAGACACAACAATTACACAAGAAAACAAAATGTTTTCTCTATTTGCATTTTTTAAAATTTAAAACAAATAATCTACTACAATACATAGTAAATATATATTATACCATGTATTTACACCATAGTAAGGTAAAAATATAGATCATATTTCTGGATGAGAGGAGGAAGAAAGGAAAGATTTTTTTTTTTTTTTTGAGACGGAGTCTCGCTTTGTTGCCCAGGCTGGAGTGCAGTGGCGTGATCTCGGCTCACTGCAAGCTCCGCCTTCCAGGTTCATGCCATTCTCCTGCCTCAGCCTCCAGAGTAGCTGGGATTACAGGCGCCTGCCACTACTCCTGGCTAATTTTTTTTTTTTTATTTTTAGTAGAGGCGGGGTTTCACCGTGTTAGCCAGGATGGTTTCGATCTCCTGACCTTGTGATCCACCCACCTCGGCCTCCCAAAGTGCTGGGATTACAGGTGTGAGCACCGCGCCCGGCCGGAAAGATTTTTAAATATAGTGTGACAATTAAACTAAGAAAAGTATGTAGTATTTTACATATATGTGGTTACTTGAAATCATGGGAGGAGATGATTCGGTGAGCACCTGCGCCCACGACATTGTGCTTGGGATGCTAGTGAGATATGAAGATGATTAAGACACAAAATTATCCATTTAGCTACAAACAGTAGGGGTAAACGTGCACAAGGAACTACAACACAAGGCAGACCGTGATCAGCTCTATAACAGAAGTCCAACATGCTGCACGAGTAAAAATCTGCCACTTGCTGGCAGTAGACTAAGTCCTCTATGTGTTATTTCACTTAATCCTCTGCAGAAACATATAAAGTGGGGTACTGGTACTCTTGCTTCACAGCAAAGATACTGATCATCAGTGAAGTTAAGAAACTTGGCCAGACGCGAGAGCTCACACCTGTAATCCCAACACTTTGGGAGGCCAAGGCAGGCAGATCACAAGGTCAAGAGATCGAGACCACCCTGGCCAACATAGTGAAACCCCGTTTCTACTAAAAATACAAAATTAGCTGGGCATGGTGGTGTGCGCCTGTAGACCCAGCCGCTCGGGAGGCTGAGGCAGGAGAATCGCTTGAACCTGGGAGGCAGAGGTTGCAGTGAACCGAGATCGCACCACTGCACTCCAGCCCGGGTGACAGAGTGAGACTCCATCTCAATTAAAAAAAAAAAAAAAATGATAAATCCAAGTGGAGGGCTCTTGGAAGATTAGGACTCAACAGAATTTCCAAAGAGCAAAATTGGCTCAGAGGTAGTAAAACTCCAGGCCAAGGGAATAATTTGATAAAAGGTAACAGATGAGAAAGAGTAATGCCTGTTCAGGGAACCAGACTAGCATGGCTACAGCACAGGTCACAGGAAAGGACATCAGTAACTAAGACTGGGAGAACCCACTTTAAGTTCTAGCAAAACACACCTGGTCTGAATCCTGGATCTGTTACCTTGGCAATTTATTTAATCTCACTGAGCCTCAGCTTCCTGAACTATTAAATGAAGTAACACCATCGACTTCACAGAGTCGGTGTGAGGATGGGCGTGTGGCCACGTGGTTTAGCCAATCAGCTGCTCCTGTTCAGCATCTGGAGTAAGTGACACAAAGTACAGAAGGCAGAAATTCCTTCTAGTGGGTGCAGTAACATCGAATTCAGAGACAAGCCTGCAAAGCCTTCTGTGAGTATCCCAGGCAAAACAAATCTCTCCTTTGTTCTGAAATTTGTTCAGATACCTAAGGTTTCAACTCATTCAGATACCTAAGGTTTCAACTCATAATTCTTACTCACATCGAAATAATTAACTTTCTTGAATTCCTGGCAATACGTCTGTCTGGTTATGACTTCACTCAGAATCAACACTTTTCTGGTGAATGTTCTTCATTCATCCCTGTTTTTCCTAATCCTTTCTTCTCTCTTCTTGTATCATTTTTGTAGAGATTTGATTTGATTTTTGGAGACAGGGTCTTGCTCTTTTGTCCAGTTAGAATGCAGTGGTGTGTTCATGGTTCACTGCAGCCTCAAACTCCTGGACTCAAGCAATCCTCCCGCCTCCGCCTCCCGAGCAGCTGGGACTACAGGCGCAAACCACCACACCCGGCTAATGTTTTTCTGTTTAATGTTTAATGAGTCTCCCTATGTTGCCCAGGCTGGTCTTGAACTCCTGGTCTCAAGCAAACCTCCCACCTCAGCCTTCCAAAGTGCTGGGACTACAGGCGTGAGCCACTGCACCCAGCCTACTCTTCACTTTTAAATTAGATAAATTCTTCAGAAACAGCTATTGCAAGAGGTTCAAACTGGGAAAAGCCGCAGCTGTGTTCCAAGTTATGAGATTCTCCCTGCTTACCCTTGTACGTTGCTTTAGCCTTTACTTTTCTCTGGGAAAAGGAGGAGGCAGCTGCCAGGCTACTCACAACTCAAAGCCTCTTTCCTCCACCCTGCTTACCGCCAGGCTTCCTACAAGATGGCATGTCTATATCCTTTCATTTTTAGCTCTGCCTTCCTTGATATTTCTCAGTGCTAATGAAGCCCAAGGAAGCATCTGTTCCCATTGTTCCAAAGAAGGGACCGTGGTGCTGTCTCTTAGAGAGTGCTCCCCACGCAGACGCCTCCTCTCAGAGCATCTCCACGTGCTGCTGCTTCACTGCATTTGGCAACTCCTCCCCATCCTATTATGCTTTGAAGATCTAGTGTCTTTTAATTTTGTTAAAGATGGAGTTTGTAGTTGTTTCTTATCCTTACTGTTTTGAGTTGATTCCAAGAGTAAAAGGTGTCAGACATGTTTTGATTCTGCCACTAATAGTTTTGTTTTGTTTTTCTGAGACAGAGTCTTGCTCTGTCACCCAGGCTGGAGTGCAGTGGCACGAGCTCAGCTCATTGCAACCTCCATCTCCAGGGATCAAGCCATTCTCCTGCCTCAGCCTCCCAAGTAGCTGGGATTATAGGTGCATGCCGCCACGCCCGGCTAATTTTTCTATTTTTAGTAGAGACGGAGTTTCACCATGTCGGCCAGGCTGGTCTTGAACTCCTGACTTCAGGTGATCCACCTGCTTCAGCCTCCCAAAGTGCTGGGATTACAGACATGAGCCACTGTGCCCAGCCTAATGATTTTCTGCAATCTAATGTACAGATTAGTATTTTCCTAGTGTATTACATTGTGACACTATCTACATCAGTTTTGTACCAAAAATCTATGATTCTCGCCACGTAAATCAAGAGAGAATTATGTCTGTCTTTCATAGAGGTCATTCTTCTACATAGGTACTTGTTTGCAATGAATTTTGAAGAGTTCTTTCGAGACATGATAAACACAAATAGACCTTAGTTCTTACTTCACATGTGAGAGAAAAAAGACCATTTCTAGCCTTCGAAATCATTTAATATAGACTGATAAATAGGCAAATTTTGTAGATTCCTGTAAATAAGTGTTAACATTCGGAAATGAAAAAGTTTTACCTGAATCTGATTCCGCAGTTGTTCTGCTTCTTGCCTCAACTGTTCCAGTTCACTCATTTTTTCAATTTGTTTACCTCAGGAGCTAATGAGTGAAAACAGCTGTTAAAAAACAGAGAACAAGAGAAAGATTCAGTTCTGTATCTACATCTTCATCTAGTTTTACAACACTGACATATAACTTCTTTTTGGACCTTCTGAAATTCAACGGAGGTAGTCAATTATTAAGGGAATTTAAAGATGCTTAGTAAATACAGATTGAGGTTATTTACTGAAGGGTTTTATATAAGAACATGATCAGACGATGGAGGAGAAATTGCAAGTTGTAGTATTCAAGGCTGAATTATGCGGAATTGGCACCAGAACGGAGTCCAGTGAGAAATATTTTACAATAGTTCAGAGGACACCAAGAGACTTCCCCACTTGGATGTCTGGATTGGCACCTCAAAGAGTACCTCAAAACTGAACCCCACCCCACCCCCAAGCCTTCCCCATCTCAGGAAATGGCAAGTCCATCCTTACTTACAATAGTTTAAGCTAAAAATCTGGGAGCAGTCCTGTTTTAATCATACCCTCCTCATCGAATCTATTTGCAAATCATGTCAGTTATTCCTTAGAAAATTATCCAGGTTCTAACTCTGATTTCCTCCACTTCTACTGTCTGGGTCCACACCACCATGATTATCTCTCACTGGTCTCCTTCTTACTGCCCTCGACCACTCTCTGGTCTAATTAGAGCAACTAGAGATCCTTTGAAAATACAAGTCACTTTAAATCCTCCAAAGGTTTTCCACTCCACTAAACTCTATTTTGACCCACAGAGCCCTGTATCATTACATACACACACAGACACACACACCCCCTCTGACCTCATCTATCACTCTCACACTCACTCTCTTCCAGTTGTTCAAAGACCTCTCTGATGGTCCTTGAACACGCTAAGTAGGCTCCAGTCTCAGTGTCTTTGCATTTGCTCCTGCCTCTGCTTGGATAGATCTTGTCCCTGATATTTTAATCTCTTGCTCCCTTATATCTGCTCAAATGCGATCTTCTCAGCAGGACCTTTGCTGATAGCACACATGCACCCAAACACGCTCCTCTTACCCTGTCTTGTTTTTCACTATAAGACTCAACACCATCAGCAAGTATTTACTTATTTGTGATCTCTTTCCTTCTGATAAGATGTAAAGGGCCGGGCGTGGTGGCTCACGCCTGTAATCCCATCACTTTGGGAGGCCGAGGTGGGTGGATCACTTGAGGCCAGGAATTCAAGACCAGCCCGGGCAACATGGTGAAACCTCCACTCTACCAAAAATACAAAAATTAGCCAGGTGTGATGGCACATGACTGTAATCCCAGTTACTCAGGAAGCTGAGGCACAAGAATTGCTTGAACCTGGGAGGTGGAGGCTGCAGTGAGCTGAGATCACACCATTGCACTCCAGCCTGGGTGACAGAGCGAGACTCTGTCTTTTAAAAAAAAAAAAAAAAAGGAGATGTAAAGTTCCTTGAGGCGGGGTCTCTGTTTGCTTTATTCTTTGTCGTATCCCCATCACTTAAGATACTTCGGTCTCCAGTAAATAAAGCAACCTGAAATAGCTTAACAAATAAAGGAATATTCATTCTAAGGATTTAGGATGAATCAGAGAACCAGAAGACAGGAATATTACTGCCTCAAAAGGACACTAGAGGCTAGAAACTGGGAGTATTCTTTCTCTACCTGTCCTGGTCTCTTTTCTCTTCCTTGGTTTTTTTCTTTCTACAGAATGACTTTTTCTGCTCCCCTAAGTACAAAACCCAAGCTTGTATCTTTTTAGGTCAAGATTGTAGCCCAAAATGACTGTCCTAAGTTCAAATTCCTATAAAAGATTGATTCCCCTCATGAGAGAGAATTTGTTTTTGGTGTCTATTCTACAATCACATCAACTATGGTAGAAATATCTGTTTATTATGTTCAGACAAAAAAAGAAAAAGAAAAAGAAACCAGCATCTATTTATTCTTTCAGAATTCACTATGTATTTATTTTGTCCAATTAAAAAATAAATGTATTGGGATTGATTGGAATGGCATTAAGGTATAAAACAGTTCCAGAAGAACTAAAATCATTCTAATATTCCATTTCCAATTTAATACTGTGGCGTATTTCTCTGTTTATCCAAAGTTTCCATCTTTTATTTATGAGTCCTAACCATTCCCTGATAAAGTTTGATTGTTTAACAATTTAGTATGCATCTCAGAGAGGGTCCGACTGGACAGATTACAGCCAGTCTGGAATACCATTCTGCTGAACTGAATGAAGACAAGCAGCATTCAGGCTCTTTAAAGTCACAACCTTAGCTGCCCTTGCTGACCGTTCCTGAGATATCCCTGGCCCAAAAGTCCTAGAACTCTGATTGATTTTGATAGCTCTTTATTTTTAGGGTCCCAAAAAATTTGGGGTAAGCAGAACTAGTTTACACCCCTCCTACTAAGTTGCTAACATACTAGAAAGAACTATCAATGGGCCTTGGAACTTTTTAAAAATTTGCAGTTATTATTATTACCATTATTGTTATTATTTGTAGAGCTGGGGTTCTAGCTATATTGCCCAGGCTGGTCCTGAACTCCTGGGTTCAAGTGACCCTCCTACCCCAGCCTCCCAAAGCACTAGGACTACAGGCACGAGCCACTGAGCCCAGCCTGGGTCTCAGAACTTTTAAGCATATTAAAAATTACCTGTTACCCATCCCACTGCTGTCCTTCCCAAAGCCACACACACATACCAGTAACCTTCTAAAGCAGGAGCTACCTGTAGGAAGAGTTACTTGGCACAGACTATGATCTGTACCAAATGAATGAGAATTTCCAGGCTAAGTGCCCCTAAGGATGGAGGTACTATGAAGAGAAATGGGAAACAAAAAGCAGTTCCCTCACTGCCATCACTCTGTGGATGGGGCACTGATGGGATGTCGGGAGAGGCAATCTGTCACAGACCCTGGCCCTTCCTGCATATTCTGGCTGGGAATGCCAAGAATACAAGTCTCTAGTGGCTGTTACTTGGGCCATCTCTCAGGATTGTTTTGCAACATGCAACCTCAAGGAATAAGACAATGTCTCCTCAGGAGACGAAGAGCAGAATGACTTCTATTTACTGTAAAAGGGGTAAAACCCCCAAGCTCAGTGTCTCTAGGCTGTGATGCAAATCCAATGCATGTGCAGCATCCATGTGGGCCTACCTGTGTCACCCTGTGGGCACTGGGGAACATAGGCAATCAACACAAAGCAGGATCACACCATGCTACTCCCTGTGAATAAGAAAATCTTTTGTGTCTGACCAAGGAGTCTCATGAAACAATAACAGACTCATTTATTCACTTGTAAGTAGGTAAAGATCCCAGGCCCTTTGCAGTCATGGATACAGGCTTCACAAGAAAAAAGATGAGGGGTCCAATGTGGAAAACAGTGAGTTTATGGCTCATCCCTTCTTAACCAAGCTTCATCCAGTACTTCATCAGGCATTCTAGGTCCAGCACTTCAAGCCTTTTCACAGTACCCCAGACTGCCTGCCCTTCCATCTTGTCACACTCAACAGCAAAAGCAAAACCCTGGATGAAATCAGCTACCTACTTTCTTTCAGCGAGCACTCAAGTGGCCAAACATTGATTGAGAAAGACAAACAATGGGGCATATCAGTCTACTACAAATTCACATCACCAATCTCAACTGGGCCCTCAAAACTACCTGGCAACTCTACGCAGCTTTGTATGCACTGCTTCTGCTTTTGCTATCAAATATTTAAATTCATTTGCAATCTTTCCAAAATTTTGACCTTCTCACAAGCCCTCTTGCAGCAGATGACCTTGCCATCTATATCATAAAGTAGAAGCCATCAGACATGAACTTTTTCAATTTTCCACTACTATACAAAGCTATAGATACAAAACTGACTCAGCATATTCCTCATCTTCCTTCTTTGTGTGTGTGAATGAGAGAGAGAGAGAGAGACAGACAGACACAGACACAGACAGACAAGGTCTCACTCTGCTGCCCAGGCTGGATGCAGTGGTGGTGAACTGCAACCTCAACCTCCCAGGCTCAAGCAATCAGCCTCAGCCTCCCAAGTAGCTGGGCCCACAGGCGGGAACCACCACGCCCAGCTGATTTTCTTTTGCGATAGAGACAGGGTTGCCATGTTGCCCAGGCTTGTCTCAAACTCCTGGGCTCAAGTGATCCCCCCACCTCAGCTTTCCAAAGTGCTTGGATTATAGGTATAAGTCACTGTACCCAGTCCTTCCTTTAAATTATAATAGAATAGCTGACTTCTCTCCTGTTTGGGCCAATTCCTCCACTGGCAATTTATTTATTATTCATTCATTCATTGATTCATTCTGAGACAGGGTGTCACTCTGTCAACCAGGCTGGAGTGCAGCGGCACAATCATAGCTCACTGTAACCTCAAACTCCTGAGATCACCCAATTCTTCCACCTCAGCCTCCCCCAGTAGCTGGGACTACAGGCATGCATTATCACGCCTGGCTAATTTTTTTTTTTTTTTTTTTTTTTTTTTGAGATATAGTGTATTGCTATGTTGCCCAGGCTGGGCTTGAACTCCTAGCCTCAATTAGTCCTCCCACTTTGGCTTCCCAAAGTGCTAAAATTATAGGCATGAGCCACCATGCCCAGCCCCTCCACCAGTGATTTAAACTCTCACCTTTTAAGTAATCTTACACTTCCAGTATATTCAATCTCATACATTTTTTTCTTTTTAGTCTTTTTATTAATAAAATTTTCTAACACAAAGACTGAACAACCTAATATTCATCACATAGATTTAAAAAATATTAACTTTTTTTGCTGTATTTGCTTTATCTTTTGTTTCTGCTGAAGTATTTTAAAGTCAATTATAGACATCAAGACATTTTAGCCCTAAATACTTCACTATACATCTCTAAAAATATCTACCAAACCACAATACCATTATCATAACTACCAAAATTAACAGAAATTATTTAATATCTAAAACCCAGGAGATTTTCAAATTTCCCCAACTCTTTGACCAATGTCTTTTTACATCTGATTTGTGCAAATCCAGATCCAATTAAGAACTACATAATACATTTAGT